CCTGTCGGAGCACCAGGTGAAATGGGTTTTACTGGCCCGAAAGGACGTGACGGCCGTGATGGTTTATCTGGTCAAAAGGGCGCAAAGGGTGAGCCAGGCATGGTGCCCCCACCAGGGCCGAAAGGTGAGCCAGGATATCCAGGAAGAAACGGCCAAAAGGGTGAAACAGGCCCTCCTGGTCCACGCGGTCTGGTTGGTCTCAAAGGCGAACGCGGTGAAAAAGGAGAACAAGGTTTAATTGGTTTGACTGGCCCAATGGGACGTCCTGGTCCGAAAGGCGACCAAGGACTACCCGGCCCCGTAGGTCGAGATGGACCACCAGGTCTAACAGGTGGAAAAGGCGATGCCGGCTTACCTTGTTCCGCAGCTCAGGATTACCTTACTGGAATTCTGCTAGTGAAGCATAGTCAGTCAGAAGAAATTCCACGATGCCAACCAGGTCACATCGAATTATGGAACGGATATTCTATGCTCTATATCGACGGTAACGATTACGCTCACAATCAAGATTTAGGATCTCCCGGGTCTTGTGTGCGTCGGTTTTCAACACTGCCCGTCTTATCGTGCGGACCCAATAATGTATGCAATTATGCTTCAAGAAACGACAAATCATTTTGGCTCACAACTTCAGCACCACTACCAATGATGCCAGTACAAGTCCAAGACGTCAGCCGTTATATATCTCGTTGTACCGTATGTGAAGCACCATCGAATGTGATTGCTGTGCATAGTCAATCGATCGAGATACCAAATTGCCCAGCCGGTTGGGAAGGTCTTTGGATCGGTTACAGTTTCCTAATGGTAATTTCAATTCAATATTTGATAAAAGAAATAAAAACAAATTATTTTTATTCTTAGCACACTGCCGTAGGTAACGGAGGTGGCGGTCAAGCATTAGCTTCCCCAGGCTCCTGCCTGGAAGATTTCCGAACAACGCCATTCATTGAATGTAATGGGGGTAAAGGTCAATGTCATTTCTACGAGACCATGTCCAGTTTCTGGTTGGTAACACTAGAAGATTACCAACAATTCCAGAGACCCGCAATGCAAACCATCAAAGCAGGGGAGCTACTGACGCGGATTTCGAGGTGCCAAGTATGTATAAAAAATTCATCATAAGCAAGGGTGGTCCCTTCTCTCTCCCTTTATGTTCACCCTTAGCTTATATTTCCACCTGGTCGCTATCCTTTTTTGTTTTCATAACTACTCTCTCTCTCTGTTTTTTTTTTTTAATTAACCTTAAAAAATATATCGCTAAAAATTTCTTAAATACGAAACAGACAATATACACATTCACAACATGAAATGAATACTTTTGCTAAGTAATCGAATGCCAAACATGTTAAAATAAATGTAAAAATTTTTACCGAATTAAACTAAACACCAACACCAATACAATTTAAATATAAAACAGTGCATATATAACTTTTTATAAACGAATTTAAAGTTCATTTTTAATACTTTTTTTTAATTATTTTATTATTAGTGTTTTTTAACTTAAGTAAGAAGCAAATAAATAATTAGAGGAAAAGCTAATTGTGAAAAAAAAAAATGAAATTATAAAGATATAACGGATAATATTATATGAAGCGAATTGTAACTGAAAATATTTCAATTCAAAATAATATGGTAATACGAAAGATATTTTAATTAAGAAATTCCAAGCCAAAAATTATAACATATAATGAAGTACTTGTGACGAATATTAAAAGAAAGAAAAAACAATTTTAATATCATTTCTTTTAATTTATATTAAAGAATGCATTTTTTTTCTCTCCTATTTCCCCTTTTTTTTTTTTTTTTGTTTTAATTATAATCTGACCAATAACTGCCATACAGTTTTCTTCGTATGTAATTAACTGTTTTATTAACAAAAAAATCAAATCAAGTCGAAATAAATGAATGCATACAATTACATAGAATCCCTAATCCCTAACGAATAAGTTGTAATATTTTACATTATGTATAAATTTAACATCAACAAAACCAAAAATATAAATAAAGAAATTCTCATTAAAAAAAAAAAAAACAAAAGTAATAGTGAAGCGACTTTATTATCAAATATTCCGAATTAAACGTACATGCAAGCATGTGCTTCGCTCTGACTTAACAAACTATAGGCGTGTGAGCAAAAGTAAATAGAGGACAAACTTTATCTTGCAATCGCAATATTGGGTGCAGGAAAGGTTTCATCACTTTCATCAAAATTTAAATCCTTTTTTTATACTTAAATAAATTTCTTTATATCAAGCACATGCCACGTTGATCGACAATGTTTCTTGCTAAAATTCTTACGCGTCCTCTGTAAAATTACTGAGATCTCTGAACTGAGTGATTTTCACAGATCTTTTTTGTAATCGGTTTTACATCATTCAGCGAGCTCCGCATAGCTAAGTTCTCTTAGTTACATCGAAGATATTCTATACTCTGCCATTACGGCGGCGGGAGGCGATCATTTTGCTATTTGTCAACTATGGAGGCTTTACCTCAACTGCTTGTTTTAATCGCATTATCTGTTGATAGTATTATTTTGATAATATAGAGCAAATGTGGAACAGCTCACGATGTACGGTTCGTTTTCAATCCCATCAAACACAAAGCCTTACCCTACCAAAATGATTTAATTTCGATACGTCATTATAATTCGCTGATGACAATTTGATCCATTAAATTTTTCGTTGCCTATTCGTGGCACAGTCTTAGGTAAACAGTTAAAAACTGTTTGTTGATCAATATTTAGTTCCACAGCCTGCGAAACATTTTCGTCTTAATCGAAATGATATGGTAAAACATAGTAAGCTTGTTTCGCAGTTTAGATTCATTTTTAAGAGACAATTACTTTCGGTTGCACTAATAAATCTCACGATGTTTTTTATTGTAATTATATATGAACTATTATCTTCCATAAGCATCATAACATTAAAATTACGCGACTTTAAAGCCATCTATAGTGAAAACGCCAAAATTCTTACTAGTTCAAAATCAAGCGTTGGGTTCAAGTAACCCAACAATCCTCTTCGAAAACAATTAACCCTTAATTTTTTATTACTACGATTATTATTATAGCTAAGCGCTATAGGTGTAGCACATTCGTAGTCGGAAAGAAATGGAAGAAAAGCAAAATATAGGTGTGGCCTCAGTCTGGGAGGAATGTGCCCGTTCGGTAAATCTCAAGGTCTTGCACTATAGTTACGGCAAGACACCAAACGCAATGAAATTACGTTCTATCGCACTGAGAATTGAACGCAGCTATAGTGGGTTGACTATTTGGCTATGTGGTAAACCCAAACGTGAGGTTTCCTCTTCGCAGCTTTGAATCGCTTAATAAATCTACTGAATTGTTTTTTAAACTACATACGACATTTTTTTATATTTTGTCTTTGGTAAGCAATTGTTATTCATAGGATATTGTGCCAGCAAATGTCGACGTTACGCACGGACTAATGCCGCAAAATCGTCACGATATTTGTGCAACAATACGGATGTGCATGGCTAGTAAATGCTCAATATTTTATGAATATTTAACATTGGGCGTCTAATAAAGAAACTTGAAGGGCGCAGTGCGAGAAGTTACAAATTTTACTTCTAAAATCTACATATTGGTGATCATAATGTTTGTGTAACGCCAGGCGAAAAAAAGAAAACCGAAAAACCGACTTAGGAGACGGAAAGTCTCAAATTTTGTGCTTGTAATAGTGATAGTATCATTAATGTTTCCAAGGGTTACCAATAGAAGAAATGGACTTTACAAACCTAGCAAAGTAAAAGTCTGATAACAATGAAGTGCCCACAAAAGTCAATAACATGAGACTTTTAGAAAATAGATAATTTGAATAGTAAGAGGAGAAAAAGTAAAGGAATAAATTACATATAACAAGTAAAAATATTATAGTAGGACACCGCCCACTATTAAACACCCTACACCACTTTGCTTGAGACAGTGATTATTATAAGGGACTTTTCAAAATACGGCGTTATATAGGCGATGGTTGAAAAAGTGGTCCGATGAAAACATTTTCAATAACTTTCGTCCGTAGGCCAAAACATGTAGGTGTACTAAATTTTATCAAAATATCTTAAGTATTACGATCTCTTTGGTTTTCCTCCGAATCAGTTCACAGATCGTCCCAAATTTTCTACGTACTCCTGCGAAATATGAAAATCATAAACATGTCGTATTATTATTATTTTCCTCCTCTGGCTGACGTTGATGTTTTCAAATAGATACAAATTTTCGACCGTTCTTGGTGCAATCCCGAAAGACTCTAATCACAATGAATCCTTTTCTTACCTTATAAATATTAAAAGAAAAAACTACATTAATTTGGATAGCGTTTAGAATGGCAACCACCTTCCATTAAGTGTCTTAATAATCTTAACAAATTTTCACCCTCAACACGTAGAGGCAAATGTAAAAAGCCGGTAATAAAAATAATGATAAAATGAAGAAAAAAAATGTAGTAAAAGCATAAAACTGAATTCAAATTGAGGGCATATTATCATGTGGGTTTCATGGAAGAAAGGGAAATGAGGAGAACAAAAGATAAACTCCGTAAAAATGCGAACTGGAACTGGAAATACAATGACAACAAATTAATACGATGTTAAATAGCACTAGCAACGACAAGTGACAAGTGCTGCAGGAGCGCTTGCGTTAATATACATATATCTACATATACTTTCATTCATATACATATATATATATGCGTATGTATAAACACACATAGGGGTGGTTAATATCTTTTTTTCAATAACCCATCCATATAATATTTCGTGTAGATAAAACGGTAGTTGGTTTTGTCAGAAGTCAAATTGGAATTGTAAGAGTTAGACGTGAAAATCGTATCAGACAGAAAGAAAAAAAAAAAAAAAAAAAAAAATTAGCATAAGAAAAAGTCAAATTTCAATAATTATTAAATCAAATAATTGTGTGTTAACATTTTTAAGTTATTTTTTATGATTTGTTTTTTTTTTTAAGTTACCGTTAAGCACAAAAATTGCAAAATTGAAAATCGAATGCATAAAATTGAATAGTTCTTTGAAAGATTTTAAATAAAATTTTGATGCACTTGCTTAACCAAGTGTCCTGAGCGGATGTCATCGAGCAACCCCTAAAAGGTTAAATAAATGCAATTGCATACGCGTATACAATTATTCATCAACTTCCTTTACTTACCCCGCTACGCACGTATGTACGTGTTGGTGTTGTGCTTATAAGAAAGTTTAAATAAATTCTCTGAATGATTATCGTTTTGTTGTTGTTCTTCCAATCAATCTGCCTGTATTGTCAGCGTTTAGTGTTATACATTCATGACCGATGGATCAATCCGAAAAATGTGCGCCTATTAAAAGAAGCAGCAGAATCAGCTAAAAGTACGAAAATAGGTCCAGATGAATATCAAGGATGTCAAGTGAAACGATCCAGAAAACGAGGTTATGTTTTGAACTCGAGCAGTTCAAATGCGTTAGGTGGCAACGAGTATTGTCGTTTCTGCGCTAATACACCGCAGGGCTACTGCCGTCATCATTTTCATTTACAAGAGTTGCATATGCATAAATTACAACAACAAAAGGAATATAATAACAGTCTGTGGTGTTCGTTGGGTAGAAGTTTTGAAAGGACGGCAGATTTGCGGCAATTACGTAGAATAAAACGTGAATTAAAACGTAATTTGCAACAACAAAAACAGCAAAACATCCAACCAATTCCTTTACTATCAAAATACAAAAACGTTGAAAGTCATTTTTTAGCACAGGAGGAGCAAACTTCACCCACAGATTCCGGTTATCAGTCCAGCCCATTGACTTCCCCTTCAAGTGTTATCAGCACCACACACAGTGAATTCATTTCGTTACTGTCACCTGATCATGCTGGTTTAATATCGCCTTCACCTTTTGAGGACCGTCAAAGTGCGTTCGGTGTTAACAGCTGCGGTCCAGCCTCCCAAAGTTTTGTACCTTACGATCATAGAACTGGTTTATCTACCACATACTTGTGAAAATTTTTGCCTTTGTTTATTTGCTTTTCCCTCTTTGAAGAAGACTTTAACAGATAATCTATTCTACAAGACTTGTTGAAAGATGCTCAAATATACAAATATTGATTGAATTTGAAGACCAATTGGGTTTTAACAACCCCCACCTGCATATACACCTGAATAGCGCTATTGAGTTTAACAAGAAAACACTTGAATCTATTCACAAAAGTACTTGAAAGAACTTAGCTAAGTAAAAAAAAAAAGAAAAAAAGAAATTCCCAAGCATGCCTGATGAATACTAATAACCGCTGAAAGGGCATTTATTAAAAGCACAAAAGCAAAATTACAATATGACTTCAAGTGAGAGTAGCACCAGTTCGTCACGAAACAGCACACCGCGCCATCGTCAACGCTCCAATGCTAGATCAGCGAATAATTCGCCTACAACATCGATCCTTAAGCGTAACGCTATGTCTAGAAAAGCACTTGTACCTCTAGAACATGGTTGTGAAGATAACTGGACTTGGAGTCGGCGACATCGTTCCAAAGAAGTAGTATTAAGTGGACCCAATGACCGTACTGTGCATTTCCATCCGAATTGGAGTAAAGGTACTGCCGGTGTACAAGGTAAACGGCCTTTAAATAATGGTCGTTTTTATTGGGAGTTACACGTCTCGCAACGTATATTCGGTACAAGCATTATGTTTGGTATCGGTACCAATAAAGCACGCTTGCATGCAAATTCATTTCGTAATATGTTAGGCGAAAATGTACACGGTTGGGGTCTATCCCATAAAGGCGTACTATGGCACGATGGTATTGCGCTGCTTTATACGAAACGATTTAAAGAAAATCAGGCCACAGTTATTGGCATATTATTCGACGGTATCGAAGGGACATTAACCTACTATAAAGATGGTAAATGCTTGGGCGTAGCATTTCATGGTTTAGACAAGGTAAGCAGAAGGAAGACCAGAACAAGAAAGTAATTTTCTCTCTCTGTGATCCATAAAGATTTATTCATAATAGATTCAAGCTTCTTCATCCCTCATCTCTCTTCATTCCTCATCTACTTTCACTTCTAGTGATTAAACAATTGCCAAATAAGAAGGAAAATTCGGAAGAAGAGTATCAAGACATAAATTTCGTTTTCTTGATTGATGAAACCATATATGATGATTAAGAAACCATATGCGAAGATTTTCCGTTTTTCTAAATTAAAAGAAATTTAACAATCCCAGATTAAGAAATATATATTTATGGCGATTTTTAACAAACCCCATGGCAAATTCACTCTATTTTCAGCAAAACTAATTATCTAATTTTAAGGAGAAAATAAAATCGTGATTTCTGTCCTAAGAAATAGCTTAAGGAAAATTACAATTATCATTCGCAAAGTTAGGTACTTTCAATCTATCAATCTGTTCACTAAATTATTCCTTCAATTTTAATTTTATTGTCCGAAAGAGTCTCAAAATATTTGTAAGTGTTTCTTCTTCGCCAAATTGCTTCTGTTTTCAAAGAATTTGCATTGAATTACTCGAAAAGGTGTTGATCAAGTCCTCCTCTTATTGTAATTAGTTAACTTTATACTGCCCCTCGCATACAAGAAAACGTGGATATCATAAAGTGTCGCTTGCGGGGTAAATAACTAGGTTCTCAGAGAGACCACTGTGCTATTTGCTGTCACAATTCCAATCCGTGGCAGACACAAGCTTGATACATGTCCTTTCTTGAGAAATGTTTAATACAAAACACTGCTATTAAAGGACTTAATTCGCCAAATGTGTATCCAGTAATGTCACTTCCTCTCTGCCACATTTCATTCGAATGTCCTTTATCGAGATTTATTGACTGCTCAAGAACAGGCATGATTACGAGCACGTGAGGGCTTTGATACCTACATTGTATTCTATAGCTATACAAAGTACATCAAATGTAAATAGTTGCCCTTTATCTTTTCCATATTCGTTCAATAATATGCTTCATTTTGTAACCTCCAAATACCCTTGGGTGTTGTTAGATGTACAGGCCCATATAATCTAGTTATCTGACGCCTTTTAATTAATGAGTAATAAATATATAAATATGTATTTATATGCAGACATCGATTTAAAAGTCAATATTCAATTCTACAAGCTCATATTAATTGTTTAGTAATCACTTCCATCCGCCAACCAGAGCAAATACCACCATCATCTAGACTTTCATAAACTCCGCCCGCTCTTTAACCATGCATTGCCTTCGAACCTGTTTATATATATATATATATATATATATTTACATTTTCAGATTAAGGAGCCCTTATACCCAGTCGTCTGTTCCACAGCAGCCAAAACTGAAATGACATTAAAGTGCGCACGTCGCGATTTTGTCAATCTACAGGATCGTTGCCGTGCCGTGATTATGAAACATATAAAAACCCGCCAGGATTTAATACAATTGAAGTTGCCAGCTATTATAAGCAATTATTTAGCGGAAGTTCTAGGCGATTACACACCGTTAAGGCAGGTGGATAATTATGATTTGTTATTTGATTTTTAGATATATGTGCTTTTAATTAACTGAATCAGCGTAATTAATGTTAATAAGATTTTAAAGGAGAAGAATTGAAAGAAAAGGTCTCATGATAACATTTACAGTGCCATGATTTAGATAAATTAATCAGTAATTAATTCTCGCTCATTTATATATATATATATATATATATATATATATATATATATATATATA